GACACAATCTTCCAGATTTGCTTGATTTATGACTACTACACTCACTGGTGATCCACTCGATTACGCTGGTTACCAAAACGAACCGTTTTGGAAACAAAATGCCGGAACATCGAAGGTACGATTTTTCTCGTTTCCTTATTTCACGCGTTATAGGCAGAATCCCCACGACGTTTTTTCTCACAACGTGTATCAGTATCATGTTTTAGAAAAGGTACATGTTTGCGGAAAAATAGCTCAGAAGACAACATAATCGTCGATTTACTTCCTCACTTAAGTTACATAAACGGTTTGGGTTAAAAGTGCAGATCTTAGCTGTTTTTCGAAAAACCGTTTATGTAACTTAAGTGAGGAATTAAATCGACGATTCTGTTGTCTTCTGAACTATTTGTTCGCAAATATGTACACTTTCTTAAACATATGATACTGATACACTGATTTGTGTTAAAAAATGTCGTGGGAATTCTGCCTACAACGTGTGAAATAAGAAAACGAGAAAAATCGAACCGTTTTGGTAACCAGCGTAATCGAGTGGATCACCAGTGACACTACCCTACATAAGTTTGGTAAACCGGAAGTCCATTTTTGGGTCACTTATCAAAGCCTGTTTGGGGTTTGGCGATTTAAAAAAATCTTTAATATGCTAGCAAATTAAAATCCCGGGGAGTGTACTATTCTTGCTGTTCAAAGAAGTATTATAACATTTAATACTAGAAACTGCTAAAAATGGAACACCTCACAGGTGGAACGATGTTTAAAGTCCCACAGCCCATTGACTCCATGTATTGAACCTCTGTAAGTGGAACACCTCGCAAGTGGAACACTTTTTGTGTTCCCATTGGCGTTCAACTTGCACAGGTTCAATTTAGGCGATATCTCATGATTCTAGGCTTTCCCAATATAACAGTTATTTGATAATTTAGAATATCGAATATGTCATTCAGCGAATTTGGTTTCTTCATCTTATGAGTTCATAAGAAGGCCCTTGGCTATTTTTTCACCTTATACTCAAGGTTCATCATTTACAGATTTAAACAGTAAATCGAATTGTTCTGTCCACTGAATCTAGTTTCTTCATCTTATGAGTTCAAAGATACGCCTGATGACATACTTGAAATTAAAAATCTAGGGCAATAAATGTGAGGCTGTCTATTGGGGTCAATCACACCACTTTGGAAGCTTTTTATTGGCATCTACTAAAGTATTACTTAAAATATTAGAACATGACAGAATTTGAAGCCCTGGCTGTCAAGTGCTCATTATACTAAAGGGACTTAAGTGTCCATGGTCTTATTAGGAAGCCATTTTATATTTTAGAAATATGTTATAACAATAATGGCAAATTGAATATATTTCCAGGGAATCTTTTCCGTACAATCTTTTAAACTCTTCATCAGATGGTTTGATTGAACCGACTCATTTTGATTATACAAACTTCCCAAAAACCGGGAAAGTTAATCTTAACATTGTATTTCTCATTTCAATGTCATTTCTCATTTCAAGCAAACATATTTTCAATTTTGGTCATGAGGAAATTTCCCAATATGGTGCTGGATTCATCTACTTGGTTGCTTATAAGCTAGGACAGCTAAGATATGTTACTATAGCCATCTGAAATACAGTAAAACCTGTGTATATTGAACATGTTTTGCCAAGGAAATATTCAGTGTTGGTAGGTCTTCACTACAGAGAGTGTAATTTATACATAAGTCAGTAGCGTATGTGCAGAGGAAAGGTGCCTACTATGACAGGTACGGTGTTCACTAAGACAGGTTTTACTGTATGTATATTCGACTCCCATCCTCAGGTTAGCGTGAGCAGGTTACATGTTATAAAATGACATTTCTGCATATTATGTGTCACGAAACAGTTCAATAACCTGGGTAGAGTTGTATGCAACTTATTGACAAAACTGATTTTCTAGCAAAATTATCTCTTAATTATATAATTATAGTCGAGGAAACGCCTAACCACAAGTTCATAAGCTGTCGTATAATATTACGTCTGCTTTTCACTAATAACAATACAAAATATTGTCCTTGTTTTTCAGTATGGTGAACTTCATTAACAGTAATCAGGAAAACGACGGCCTTGTGTCACCCATTGATAAAAAGGCGAACCCTTGGGCAGAGACCAAGAAATGTACCATCATTTAGGGGACTTGGATAAATCGTAATATGACACACTGGATGGTGGGACCAGTGAGGAGTAGAGGAGAAATGCAGTGAGAAAGAGAACACTATAGTTTATGCAACAAAGACACATCTACAGATTTAATTAAATTTTTAAGTGTTTTCATTTTAAAAGGAGTAGATCATATTGATACTTAAAGCATGTGTCAATTGTTATATATAATACTGGTTGGTAGTTTCATAATTTTATAAAAACATTTGTACCCTAACCAATATTACTTTCTAAAACAACTTTGCCACCCGATGCCAATTAAGAAAAATACTAAAAACATAGTCTCAAAAACAACACATAAAGACAAAGATATTTTTTTTTGATTTGAAACATTAATCATGCTCAAAAATGCAATTCATTGCCCTAATCATTTAATGGGAAAACCCAGAGAATCTTTTTTGTACTTATGGCATGGTTTTGTTTAAATGAAAGTTAAACAGACAAAAATCATTCCTCATCATACAGAATTTCCTAAAACACTTTTCATAATTTGCGAACCTCGATAGATGCATATCTCTTGTTCTGTCAGAATCCGAATCCCATGCAATATAACATACCATACATATTACAGACATTCCAGAGACTAGGCAGTCCATGAATATACAGATAATATTCAGATAAACGTCCAGGACAGTTATTACAAAAATGATATACTACATGGCTATAGTTTATTGCTGATTTGAACTGTTTTGGCATTTTCCGTATGACCACTTTTGTTGTAGTAGATAGATATGTTAGTTAAGGCGAGATAGTGACTTGGTTGGTTGGTTGATTGGTTCCATGTGATGCTATGGTAACTAGCGACATCAATTATATCCCACATCTACCGAAGGAGATTTGATTAACTTAAATTCAACATCCATCCAACTTTTTGTCACATTTTTATCAATGTACATGTACTAGATCTAGTATGTTGTATATGTAACTTGTGATAGATTCTGAAAATACAATTGAACACTAGGGGATCTGAACTATATTAAAATCAATCATAATTCACAAGTGTTCTCCACAAGTGTTCAAGTTACAGAGGAGTTATACTTGTACCTTTACAATAGAGGCTGACCAACATAAGGTGCAAGGGGTCTCCAATTTTGTGATAATCCAGTGTACAATTTTCTAATTCTATTATCATAATAGCTCATAATTGAGGTTGAGGCTCTGTTGTGTCTCTTGTAATAGCAATACATTTACTAAACAATTTTACCTTCCTCCTGTGTAAACGTACACTTAGCAAGACTGTATGTTAACGTTTCTGTTGGGCCAAATGGGTGAAACTTTCTAATATTCCAATTTATGCAAGGTTAATCACTCTTGTTTCAGTCATGCAATTCATGTTTACCTTTACCTCTTCGATCTTACTCAGACAATGCTATAAGAACTTCATTGTCACAATGATTGGATATCAATAACATCAATATTTGTACATGTTGAATATCAACTTCCAATCTAAATAAATATTGTGTGAGACAGAGGAAATTTGAGTCGGTTGTAGAATGGATCATGTCAAGAACTCATGTGAGAATCGAATTCTATGCAGTTGCTTTATTGGTGGGATTGGGTTAAAAGCGCCCTCTTTTATTTAAAAAAAACAGGAGCGATTAATTTGTATTAAACAGCCATGTAATTTCATTGTACATACAGTTTAACGGGGATGAGGCAATGTTTTTCTGTTAACTTGTTCAAGAATTTTTTTTGATCCAGCCCCTAAATTGGAACGAATGTAAATCATTTAAATCTAACATCTTGTGTTAATACAAGTAGTGGTCAATAATTGATTTTTTCTTATTGTAACCCAGATCAATGCTTCGTGTTGTATCTTTTGACATTGAACTTTTATGTGTCAGTCTCCTAACGACCCATTCATTATTTTGACACCTAGTTTAAAGGAATCAGTTCAAACTGTCCAGTCAACTGTATCAAAGATTTAGCAATCTGTCATGTCTAATCTCAAGGACAACTTAGCAGTAGAACTGTGTAATCACCTTCAGTATTGTCGATAGATGGCATCATTGAATATGTCAACTGTTTATTCTACAGGGTGTCCATAAAGTATATTTCTACTTTACAGACTTTTTATTGTACGTGTAATTGTAGACTTTATGGGCAATTCAGATGCATAGTTATTTTTAGCATGTTTCATTTTTCTGGTGCAATACCAATATGTTGTCCAGTTACCAGTAAGTACAACACCAAGTTTCAAGTTTCTATAGCACTCCTCAAGTCAACTCAATGTAAAATCTTAACTCTCTGAGCACAAATGTATTTATTCACCTTTAATGTGATATTGTATCTGTAGTATTTATTATACAGAGAAATAAATAATTTTTCAAAACAATTTTATTTCTTTATTTTAATGAGTACATTTTGAAATACAAGTTGTATTTGAAAGAATTTTGTGCCACAACAGGACTTAATTGAGTATCTATATGTCCAGTACACTTATTGTGTACAATAATTAAAATTCAATTTGAAATATTTAGTGAAGAAAAAACAAGTAAATGGAACTTCACTAAACACACATAATGAGAAGAGAATTCAAAATGTAACAAATATACATGTATTAAACATCAACATCTCAACATATAACATCAATTTACAATAATCACTTTAGCAGCATTATTACATTGTATAATTAGCTGCATAGTAACAAAATATGGTTTACAGTATATACAGGGTGGGCTAAAAAACATCCAATCAAAATCATTTTGCTAATATGCGATGTGATAAAAAATGTAGACATTTTTGGCCCACCCTGTAAGTGTTTCAGTGTATGTATCATGTTTAAAATAACAGTTCATAATTTATAAGTCATTAAGCCAGTACCCTTCCAGTGTCATTTATAGTAAGTACAATGGTACTTTTCATACATATTAGCTCTTTTTTCACATGTAGGAAATCACTACACTGCAAAATGTTCTATCAACATGTCCACTCTGATCTCCATTCATATAATGCTCCTTAAGTGTTTTATGGGATCCATATGCAGAAGTGTTTTATACCAGTTCATTTAGCAATGCTTTAATGAGCCTGGCTTCATACGTGACTGTGTTTTTACCTGGATGTGCAGGGGTCTCTTCAAGTGGATTCTCAACCACAGCCTTCACATCACGTCCATATGCTGCAAATACACAAATCAAACAATAAATTGAAGATCTAAAATTGAGTGAACAATAAATAACCTAAATATTAAGAGCAGACTGCTTAGGTAATAAAAGGAAAAATAATATTAGGATTCAATCTATATACAGGCAAATCTTAATTATTTTTTGAGCTCAGGTGCTCTAGATATACGGTGGTTTTAATCATCATATTTCACTGATATCATTCTTTCAATCATAGTAAAACTAGCAGCAGGTCAATTTGCCCTATATCATTTTGCATTGCTTTGTATAGGATACATAGGTACATCATGGGTGAGGTATTTTATCATTCTTTCAATTACTATACAATTAACCTCACTGAAAGCTTGCACAAAATGGGTGGGGCATTTTATTTTTCAATTTATTATATATTTATCAAATGATTGGATATTAGTTAGAAATGTATGGCATAGTATTGTATAGTGTATACATCTATTAATGTTTTCCCAGCCTAGACTAAAACATCCAATCATTTAGCCTGGCCTATACTGAAACATCCATCCCTTTATCCCAGCCTAAACTGAAACATCCATCCATTTATCCCAGCCTAAACTGAAACATCCATCCATTTATCCCAGCCTAAACTGAAACATCCATCCATTTATCCCAGCCTAAACTGAAACATCCATCCATTTATCCCAGCCTAAACTGAAACATCCATCCATTTATCCCAGCCTAAACTGAAACATCCATCCATTTATCCCAGCCTAAACTGAAACATCCATCCATTTATCCCAGCCTAAACTGAAACATCCATCCATTTATCCCAGCCTAAACTGAAGTATCTATGCATTAACCCCAACCTAAATTGAAACTTCCAATCATTTACCTCAGCCTAAACTGAAACATCCATCCATTTATCCCAGCCTAAACTGAAGTATCTATGCATTAACCCCAACCTAAATTGAAACTTCCAATCATTTACCCAGCCTAAACTGAAACATCCATTTATTTATCCCAGCCTAAACTGAAACATCTATCCATTTATCCCAGCCTAAATTGAAACATCCAATCATTTACCCTTGTCGAAACTGACACAAGACATACATTGATGAATATTGCACTTTGGAGAGCAAAATGGCTGCCATGTAATTTATCCTGCATGCCACAAACCTTGTTAGATCTTGGCACTAGGGTGCTCTTACATCTGTAAGAATTTGAACGACTGACAGGTTTTCCTGGAATTTTGATGACAAGATTTAGGTGACTCAACCTAAACTGAAACATCAATCTATTTTCCCTAGCCTTAACTGAAGTAAAAGGATCAAAGCTTTTTTTTTAAAATTTTTTGTTATTTCAAAGAAAAAAACATGTTAAAGCAATTGCGAAAAAACAATTACAATACAGTTACATGGTAAACATACATTTTACAATTTTACAATACAGTATTGGTTAAACATTAGTCTTTAAGAAATTTTATACCATTGGCAATTCTTTTTATTTAAAGGAAAAAATCATCAGTATCATTTGTTTAATTTTGCTTCCATGATTTTCCACTTATCGTCTCTGCCAACCCGTTTGTCCATTATAAAATATTCCTTCACATTACTTATAGAACTTACTTTCACAGTGCTCCAGGAACTGCAGGCACTCTTGGGCAACAGTGTCACGCAGCATGATCATGTGCTTAGCCATGTTTTCTAGAAGGGACAGGAAGCAACGTTTAGCGTAGAACCATGTGTCTGTCCCTAGTTTCTTCTGGTATGGCTCCAGACTTTTGATCACACGAGATATTCCAAACTCATAGTTACCCTTGGCACAGTACAGAGTCCTGGAATAAAAGACAAATAATATAGCATTAATTTTAGAATTTTTCAAAAATAGCTTCCTTGGCCCAGTAGAGGATGCTAGTATACAACACATCTATAGATTGATTAATTTGTGAATGTTCAAGTGAGCAATGAATGTGATATTGAAGGGATCTACAATCTACATGGCCATTAAGCCAGGTGGCACGAGGTAAGGAGGCAATTAACAGAAAATTATAAATTCAGACATTTTCTACAATTGAAACTGTGAGAATGAGACCTAATGATTACATTGTGTTTTTCCAATGACAGTATTATAATGCCTAAACTCAAATTTTCCTTTGCCTCACCTTGTCCACTTTTTGTCTCACCTACTTGCATTTGCCAAGCCTATTTTAAGATTTCGGCACTGCATGCATTACTCACCCGATGACTAAATTGACTATACAGAGATGAAATATCTTCTTATCAGGGTCCTCATAGGAGAGCGTCTCCTCTTCTTTCTCAATCTTACGCATCAGTTCCTCAGCCTGAAAGTAAATAATAACAATAACAATGGTCGCTGAAGGTTTAGTTTGTATATTTATTGAAAGCTCAGAATTCATTCATTGGAAAGGGATTCAGCGCCTCTTGTACAGCTGATACACTGTATATAAAATGTATGTATGCTGAATGTTATCTTTATCTTATTCATTCATGGATATTCTCTTATACAACCCATTTGGTTGAAAATGCAATTAATTTTCACTGTTGCATTATGGGGTACACTTACCTCATCATTCTGATTTGTCATGATGTAAGAGACGCAGAGATTTGCCAGGACTATGGCACTGACAGAGAGGATCTGAAAAACATGTAGGTTGAGAACAATGAATGTATACAGTATGTAACAGTTTACCTGTATTCCTTAATTCAGAACATTTTAAAATATGGACTAAAATATTCCAGACTCAGTCATATGTGTCAATATTACAATTCAAGAAATGAGAATGTTTTAAACATTATTATATTAGTGAACTTCAAATATCAAATTCTAACCAATTTACGTATGGCTTAAAATTAATCATTGCATTTCTAGATACCTCACTTAAATAGTAGAATTTCATAACTTATTTGTATTTTGATGTTATTCTGTCCGTTTCACCTTTTCACAACTTTGTTGTGCTCAGTTGAAATTTTGAACAGTTGAGAGCTTGGGAAATCAAAATGTACTTACATTATCATAGTGTTTCTTGACAATCGGTTCATAAAATCCTGTAGCCTCCTTGAACTTATTCTCCTGCATGAATAGTACATGGGCAACATTCAGCTTCCACGCATCATGCTCATTACAAAATTCCACAGATTTACGGAATATTTTCTCCACCTGGGTGTAGCTCTCGAGGTCCCAGTAGATTTTGGCCTGCTGCATAAGCACAGGGATGTACCTGAGAGTAAAGAGGGGAATATTTTCTATATTTTTGTTTTCTACACATGAAAGGGACCATTTTAAAGGTTTCTACACATAATTGGTTTTGTTAAGTGCTAGACAATCCGCTGATACTTGGTAAGACGTGTGAATATCAAAAAGACAATACGGGGCATAAACATGCAAATGTCACCACCTGCCATTTAGTTAGACACCGAACATCAACTGTGGAATACCAACCACCGAATATTGTCCATAAAAAAATGGAGACCATTACAATTTGTCAATACTTGTGGTGATGACATTATTAAGTGATAGATTACTTTGTATATATGAAGTTTCTACATGAATGACATATTAACATAGAGCTGCACATGCAACCAGCAGAAAAATGAGGACAATCTAAAGTGCACTTCTGTAATGGGAAGAATATAATGTGCTACCATTCTGTATAACAATTGTTGAATGTTTAATTACAAATCAATGCATCACACAGTATATACACCAATTTGGTGATGTTATAAAAAAAATTGTGTGCGTGAACTACAAATGCGCTAAAACTAGGGCTGGCACGGAACGGATTTCGGAACTTGGCTTCGGAATTCGGAACTTTCGGAATTTCGGACCTTATTTAAAATAGTTCCTACTTCTCGCCTTAAGTTCTCATTTTTGTTACCATTGGAACAGCAGTGTACACCTATATATATATAGTAGCCCGGACAGAATTGTTCAATGGTCACTTTTTCTTTAATAACTTTTTTAATTTTCAGTATTGTCATAGTCTGATCACATATTTTAAAACCAAAGTAAAATTCTGACATACAAAAAAAATATTTAAGGAACATCTCTTAATTTATTGATATTTTAGGCGTTCATAGTATGACTGACGCAAATACATAATTCATCATTTTGCCCCATATTTGTTCAAAATGGCGGCATATTTTGTGAATTTGAATGTTCAGTTGAAAGTTAATATTTAAAGATTGTCATAGGACTATAGGGCCATGCTGCCACCGTTACAATCCTGATGTAATGCAGCAACTGACCAGTCATCAAATACAAGAAGTCAAATCCCTCCAAGGGTATATGAAATCAACTCTATTGAAATGTTCGGAATTGTGTTCAAGAGGATGTGAAAAGGTGGCGCCCCAATGTGCGGGATGTGATGAGAGTAGGTCCTTTATCTTTTCAAGAGCTCCAAACAGCCATCTCAGAGGCCATTGAAAAGCTGAAGAACAATTCACATGCATGCCAAGGATGGGTTAAGAGACGTGTGACTGGGAAAGATATTACAAACTGTGGCAGTATGACCCTATAGTTGCACAGGTTCAACGAACTAGGGATGCTAATCCACTACGAGTAACAATGGAATGGCAAAAAACCTTAAGTGCTGCGACCTTACCAATATACTGTACATGCAATGTACAAACCTTTTTAAGTGCTGGTATACATACAAGTCAATTTAAAACAAAACGTTATAAATGCAGTCATTACCTCATACCAAGGCAGCAGACTACAATATTTCGTAGGCCTATGACATTTCTTAAATATTAACTTTAATTTCAACTGAACATTCAAACCACGAAACATGCTGCCGTTTTTGAACAAATATGAGACAAAATGGTGAATTATGCATTTGCATCACTCATACTATGAACGCCTATAATATCAATAAATTAAGAGATGTCCCTTATATATTTTTTTTGTATTGTCAGAATTTTACTCTAGTTTTCAAATATATAATCAGATTTTGATAATACTGAAAATTAAAAAAGTTATTAAAGAAAAAGTGACCATTGAACAATTCTGTCCGGGCTACTATATATAAGTTGTATTATGTTTATTAAATACAAACACTAACACTATCTAACTGCCAGAACAAGTGGCATAAATGTTCAAAATTTAATGGCAAAACGTTAATGTCCTTGCCTTCTTGGGACTTGGCATTGAACTGTTACTGTATATTGTATATTGTCTTTCTTACAATAATTGTCTTTTATTATAGGTACTTAATATGTAAAACAATCATACTTTATTTATTTCTATCATTTATTACATATAAAACAACTTTACCAAGTTAAAATGTTTAATAATTATATGTATTTGTTGATTTCGTTTCATAGTACTAGTTCGCTATAGCGAGTTAGCGTGTCGCTATAACGATAAGTGAATGTTCTTTAAGAAAAATAAAAGTTCCAAAAATCATCGGAATATGAGAAGGTAGGTCCGAAAGTCCGTTTCCGAAGGCAAAATCGGACGGTTCGGACAATAATTCCGTTCCGTGCCGTTCCTATCTACAAGCACTCAATCTACACAGTCAGTCACTTACTTTTCCAAACAATCATCATAATCATTGACGGCTTTTTTCACGCTGTCGTCATCGTGATTATTCCTGGATTCATTCACCTGTGACCAGCATAAACAAACAATCAATCAACAACCATGAATGACAGGATACAAACTTACTTTTCTAAACAATCGTCATAATCATTGATGGCGTGTTTCATTGTGTCATCACTATGAGCCCTGCCAGACTCTTGTACCTAACACAGAACAATAAACAATTAAGGAAAGAGAACAGGCTAAGAACAGACTTACACATGGGATATTTACATGAATCATGTTTTTGCTTATCATAAATATGATTTCACATAAATTCTAGCAAAACTCACATTTGTTCCAAGCTAAACAAATTAATATTTATCGATTTTTCCTTTGAACATATGCCATATTTTATTTCAAATTCTGAAAATTTTACATGCAGTTTTTTCTGACCAAGATTTTTCTTTTATCACACCATCTGACTGCCGGGTGAAATCAATCGAATAAATATGGCATCATTTCAAAGAAACAAATTGTTATATTGGAGATAAATGAAGCAGAGTATAAGTAAATGAACTCAATTATCTCTTATTATATGGGTGAAGCCAGGAAAAAAAGTAGGCGATGCTTTAGGTTAAGTCATGTATTACTACTTAGGACTTCATTTCCACAGCTTCAGTTCCAAAGGCCCTTGGAACATCTTTTCTTAGGGAAATTGACTCAACTGTGGCCTATGTTTAGTTTGAAACTAAATAAATTTCCGTAATTCCGTAATTCTCATCGCATGCCTCATGCCTGGCTACACCCATGCATTAGCAGCCCCAAAAAGGCCAATAATAACATGTAACATTCAACTCTTAACCCTGGTCTTACTGAGTCACAATAGTGTCCTCATATTCAAACACATTCTTTTTGACCATAGTTTGCACCGCGTTATACTGTTCCTGCAAGATCAATAGAGATAAAAATAAATGCATCAATATTAATGAGGAACATGTCCCTTTTTAACAATCTCATTTGTAGAGCTATGTCAATCTATATTTGGAGTTAAATAGATATACAGACCCGTAACCCTTCATGCATTTATTCACCATTTTGAGCCTGTCTCAAGTGATTTGGGTCCAACGTTGACAAATGTGAACCTCCCTGGAATTATTTGAAAAGTGAGCCCCCTTGGCAAAAGCTAGCTACGGGTCTGATAAACAAAACAAGTTTTTACTAATATTCTACATTCTAAGTTAGAGCTTAACAGCAACTAACAAAACAAATGGAACTGAAAGAACTGAATAGAACAAAATAACATCAACGTGAAAGAAAGATGTTTCCTGACAAAATCACTGGGTCCAGCTGTGTCAAGGTTGGCTTGTGTTTGTAAGTCCAGTAGTTCCTCCCTGTTATCATGGATCTAACAAAAAGCACATTAATTCAATACAAATGCATATGTACAGTGAAACCTGTGTAAGTGGAACACCTGTTGTATCTCACATTAGAGACAGAAGGCATTCCATTTTCAGAAGTTCATTTTAGTACATGAAATTGATGGGCGAAAAAATGTTCAATTAATGGTGGAGATTAACTTTACAGGTTATATTATATTAAAGAAACATACAGTATTTCATATATCTGTTACTTTTTTCAAATAATTAATTGATATGAGACAAATGCGGGAAATGGTCACAAAATGTGCCCAAAATTCTAAATTTTAAACGACCATTATTATGAGGTTTTATTTACTATTCCAAATAATCGAAATCTGCAGTCAAAGTCACAGAATCATTGACAGTAATTTGTGGTTAATTGTTTTTAAAACTAATTCATTAAACTGACCATCTTGGTAAGCTTCCTGAGCTGCTCAGTCTGTTTGGAGGCCATCTCATCTAGTTTCCTATATGCTTCTTCGGGCGATGTCTGGCGCATAATCACAGCCTCCAGGAACTCATACAAATACTATACAAATAAAAGGAAATATTGAAATCCAGCACATAAGAATGTTTACAACTTGCTAATGTGTAATCTTCGGCAGAGGAAAATTATGGATTGAAACTACAATTTTTATATTCTATTAAAGCATGCACTTATAACAACAATACTAGGAAATAAAGAAGTTGCAGATACATTTCAAAACTACACTTGCAGCATAGACCAAACAAATTTTGAAGCAAATGTTGAAATAGATTTTGGAGTAAAGAGGTAATCAGACATTATGAACAAAACTCAGAAAGTTGTTTATTTCATCAAAATGTACAACTTATTTGTTGTTTGTAGTTTGTAAGTTTGAAAATCTATGACAATCCAATATTTTGGAAGACTTCCAACAGCGTACATTCTCGCCCAAGTGCCTAGAAGTTCTATTCTTGAAAAGATGATAGTAAGTTGGACAAACCAACAATTCTTATATAAAAGTAAAAAAATTGATATAAACAGAAAAATATAACAAATAACATTTAACCATTGTATGGATAAATATGCTAGCTGGACAAGTGAAGAGAATGGCCAACTTGAAATTATGAAATTAACATGAGTAATCAATTTAATTGAATTTAGGTCTGAAGGCCAAAATAACCATTCATGATTGAAAATTTTGTAAATATACTATGAATCAGAAAATGTTAGTTTCTGGTATAAACGATTCTACATCGAAATAAGTAAGATGTCCGAAACAATTGTGTCAATGAAAACATCACATTACATAGAAGTGTAGCATTTGAATTATAGATGGGGTAAATTACAAGAGAAGAAAGTGGTACATGAAAGTAACTACTGTAGAAGAAGAAAATATAACGAGGAAAATATTATAGCGAAAAATAGCGTCAGGCTTCGACCGTTATGATTAATTCCGCGAAAGTTTATTCAAAAAAATAAAACTTACTGAAATCATGAAACGCCAGAATGTTAGACCGCCTCGTCGAAGTTTTATTGCTACATTAGATTTACGATCGGTATTTTAATTACCTTTGCTACTAGAAAAAGAACGAACACAAAAACACATAACGTAAAACTACAGACATTGTTTCAAACTATACAAATCAGAAACAATATAAACAGCAGTTTAGCATCTTATCAACGTACCATTCCTGAAGAAAATATTTAGATACAGGGAAAAGCTGTTTGTTTTCCCGCTGGCATTAAACATTATATTAGGCGATTATAAAGAAAGTCTTGTGTCACCGGTTTACTTGATTGTTATAATCCGTTAATTAGAATTAAAACTTACCTGGAAAGTACAATAAGTAAGCCAATAATTAACAGGTAATTACTGAGAGCATGTATGTATACATTTATTGAAAAACAAAAGGCGAACAAGTTGTTACTAATTTTATTCGTTCGTAAATTAAAAACGTCATGGCAAAATAGGTCGTTTTATCTTTTGAATTAATACTGATTACGTACCAGGGAAACCAAATATGATGACTGTATGAGTAATCAAACAATCTAGGAAGCATAACTAGTATTAGAATGAGTATTCGAAAGTATATGAACCGTGAGGAGCTTTCATTTAAACACAGTAAGTTCGCGTGAATTAGTAACTCTATTATCGCTCACAGCGGTAACCCTTAATAATTTCGGGAATCAAGCATTAAAACCTCGGCTAGAACAATGGGCTTTCTAGGCCTAGTTTGACATGAAATTATTGGGCTCTTGGACCGTTATAATTTCTTCTCGCGATTTTTGATTTTGGCAGCATTTCGTTATAATTTGTTCCCGCTATAATTTCTTCTTCTACAGTAGTAGTAGTAGGTCAAGTATGTACTATGGCTTATCTCTTCCTCTTGCTGTAAAACATAACATGTCTATACTGTATTCTGATTGGCCAGAATTTGATATGTCTCCTTAGGTATGAGCTCTCTATTTACGATCCAATGAAAACAATGCATAGAAAAATCAATCTTGCTCTCAAACAAGTTCTAAAATTAAACATGCAAGTGAGCCATTAAACCAATCTGGCCAATCATCAAACAAATATGAATGAAGTCTCCTCTACAATTTAACAAAAATTGTCTAAGGAAACATGATTTACAATGCGTTGATCTACCAAGTATTTTAGGGCATGAAGCCGTGCTGTACTGGAACCAGTGACTGAGTAGCGCTGAAATAAACTCTTACAACAATCACAAAGTCAACTATTACAACAACAATCACAAAGTCAACTGTTACAACAATCACATCTTTAATACAAGCGTCCTTATCATCATTGTGTAGGAATTTCTTTTATACATGTTATTAATGTTTTAAATTATTAACTTTATTGTCCCACCCTGTATACCGTATGATATCTTTAAATGACTGAAAGATGATACATATATCATGTTATTCCCTTTGTACTTACAGGAGACAGAAACTTGAAGGTGAGATGAGAATTCTCTGCAAGTACATCAGCAGCCAAGTCATAGTACTGGAACATAAAGCAACATTATCTTCAAAGGTTTAAAAATCAAGTTGCAAAACTAACATAGCATTCTAAAATAAGAACCCCTTCAAGGTTTATTGAACCTTATTGAACATTGCAGTTGCAAAAAACATGACTCCCTGTAACACTGAAATCTACATGTCACTGACTGATTCAAAAGAAAATTACGTATATGGAACACTGTCTTTGCTGGCAAATATTGTTCCTCGAAGACACTATGAAAAATTCTTCGACTAGAGATTTTTATCAGACAGACTTTACTTTATAATTGATAACTAACAAAAATATACCATGATTATATCTCTAATTACTAAAGCCTAGATTCTCAGGTTTCACAGTATTGCGAAAACTCTCTAATATGAATAAAACAAGATTATTGGAAATTCAAGTAGACTTTCCACATACCTCATACTTTATATAAAGCAAGAGAAGGTTGCCAAATGTCTCAGGAGGGAAAGGGTTCTGTTGCAGGAGAAACTGAAGTTTCTCAAAGCCCTGTGTAGGGTTCTGCTCCATATTCATCAGTGCCTGGTTGTGCAGGGACACAACATCTAACTCTTCCTCTGACCTGGGGGGCATGTCTGTTAGTGCCTCGCATGCTGCACCATCTAAGAACACGTAAATTAATGATTTCTCTATGAAGATCTTTTTTACTCAAAATTTTTTTCGTATTCAGCAGTAATTTTTTAAATCGATATTGAATAGACTGGACATCCTGATTTGAGTTACTGATATTACATTTGCCTGCCAACAAGCATTTTATTTTCTTAACTGGGTAAACATTTTCATCAAGCATCCCAGCAAATCTTTATAGAAGTACAATGATATACATACACATGTAACTTACAGTTTTTCAGTTGGTACTCTATTGCTGCCTTTAGATTGAAAGCTTCTATAAGTGCAGTCTCATTGAGAGTGTATGTGTTCCCTACACTACGGACATCCACACCCTCTGTTGTCATCCCAATACCAAGCTCTGAAAATGTAACATATGATATGATGATCTATGCTCTCTACAGTATTGTCAAAATTGGGCAATGAGATTAATGAAGCTAATCATATGCAGAACATCAAATGAATCTCAATGATTTAATCAAACGGTTTAAAAGTCATTGAAAAAACTACAAATCATATGATGGCATTCAACTGACAAATTATGAATATTTCGAGCCATCAAAATGATGCTTAAAGCTCTTATCAGCCTTTTTTATTGTAGTGCATAATCACAAAAACTGGCATTTTCCTGTTGGTGCAAATCCTTTAAAACGATCTTACCTGGATGTTCCTTTATTCCTTTCTCAATGATATCTGCTATGTACTTGAGAGCAGGGGCATACTGCTTCATCATATAGTAGCACAGCGCTATGTTGTATGAGAGATCGGGCTTGTAACCAAGAATATTCATGGCTGTTGTGAACTTCTGGCACGCATCTTCATACCTAGCATCCTAAACATAGAAGATGTGTGTGAGTTGGCCATTTTCGATAATTTCAAGTGCTCCACTTTTTGGGACTTTGTGCTCAATTCATACATTTTAATATGTTATTCCAAAAGAAGTGTGTTATTCATTATTGCAATTGAGAGTGTTGGGTTTTCAGCTTCTAAGGTTTTACAATTTTGTTTTGGTGCTACATAAATCGGAAAAAATTAGACTTTGCATGGAGACAGAAATGAAGTTTTTATACCATTGATTGTAAGGCTTATATTGTTATTTAACATTTTAATTCCACAAATATCCCTTAAATCACTGATTCTGCAAATCATGAATGTTTTCACTCCTGATATTTGGAAGCTATTTCACCTTAAAAAGTAGACAGCCAAGATTAATCTCAGTGTCAGGGTCATCGGGTGGAGATTGTTCAACAAGCGCCTGGGCTGCTGGGATATCCTCCTCTCCATACTTAATGGCAGCTTGTAGTTTCACAATCTACAAAATAAAATGAAATACATCAATGTGTGCGTCAATCTGCTAACCAATGACAACAAAAAATATATGACTGCTTTGTAAGTTATGCTGATATAAATGCTATTGCAATTATATGACCAAAACATACTTATACATGATTACCCCAGAAAGAGGAAAGTGAGCTACATACAAATGGGGTTTCCATAGGGATATGCTTTAAGTACATGTATCTGTCATCATGTATCTATCAGTTACACGGAGCTGTAAAAGTTTTCCCTTCCAAAAATACTTACCCTGTTATGATAAATAGGCGTATCAATCTGACATGTGACTTTCATAGACTCCTGATAGAGACATGCCTTATGCAGAGCTTGTGCATAGTAGAGTTTGTAATCCTCCACCTCGGGGTAATTTATTGTTAGCTGTTCATAGCAATCTGCAGCATTGACAAAGTCCTGCATCTGGTAGTAGCAATAACCCAGTAAGGAGAGTGCTGCTCTTGACTGGATAACAGAAATAAGGGACATAGCAATAAATATAGAGAAGATGAATGTGATCACTAAATACTAGACCAGTACTAAAAAGTGAACACTTAGAAAAGATTTCGACCAAATCCAGAATAGTTAAACTTGAATATTTTGCATTTTCAATGATTGAAATAATATATGTTCTATGATGTATACCCTGCACACAGAGTCTAGTTTAAACTGAAGAGGAAGCTTTTTTAAGAAGCGAAATCAAACAAATGCAAAGAGTTAATGATGTATTAAACTTAATATGCTTAAAGCAATTAGAAACTTCCTTAATCAATTTCTCACCTTAACATGGGATTCTAGCTGCACATTCAATATGTTCACAACTTCATTGTAGCGATGTTCCTTGATCTGAAAGTAAACAAGTAAAGTGCTAGTAGAGTTTAATAAATAAACTGTGATTTTTCAAAATAAATAGAGTGTTCCTTCCAGAATGACACTTAAACCAATCAGATTAATTGATATTTTGGGCACATTCACTCCCGAGCACTTATAAAATCGAACCATTTTTGTTACCAAAGTGAGTGTCTCCAAGGCTTCATACCAACATATGCATTAGGAGTCCCGTGATTCATCAATACATCGATGCAACAGCTTGTTTGGTTACGATACAATATCAATATATGAAATAATGTTAACATACCTGTAATACTCCATAATTTGCTTAAATCTTCCGAATATTAAGCTTTTCGAAAGTTAGATTTTACATTTTTTGTGTGGGTTTTAACGGTCACATGCCCCATATTGAGTATAAATACAAACAGACAACAAACTGGATCCTCTATGTGCTCATTATTTAATGTTCTAGATTGTATTCAATATAGTTTTTTTAACTATTGAGTATGCCAGATTATATTCTTGAGTGAGGTCTTTTATCCAACAAAAAGTAGTTTAGAAATGTAAGTTCATCTCAAATAAAAAGTGAACAATTTTTAATTCGTAATTTTATAGAAGTAATGTTTAGCTGAACGTTTGAAAATTTCAGAATGACATAAAATGTATCGAATCGTTGCTTGTATCGTTAGGTAAGTATTGAGTTGTGTACGTTATTGTTTCATAATATATCGTGAGACCCCTATTTTGCATGATGCATACTTTTTAGTGACGCATCTGTGCAAGTGCCATGTTTTTCTCGTCATTTCGTTTCGTTCCATTTAATTTTTGTTTTAGTAAAACTTCTGCAATATTGGCTGACCAAATGCAGAATTAATTCTCTGTTATCCCAAGTCCTGGGATAAGTTCTCTGTGATATGAATCACAGATTCACAACAGATACACAAAGACACATGTTTGTTGAATACAATTCTATTCATAAAAGCAAGCAATAAGAAACATAAATGAGAATACATTATTAAAGAAATGAAATCATTTCATTATTGGCTCGTGCTGAGGCAAGAGCCATATCTCACTTGGGTTTAGTAGTAAGTGATAACGACAATGGACTGAGGTTTAAACGTTAGTTTACTAGAAGAAAACCTGATGGGTTAATATTTATTGATGAAAATGAGTTAATTCCTCGAGCAAAAGTTTAACCCTAAGGTGTTAGTTTATAATAAAATTGCGTTAGTTAACTAGAAGAAAACCTGATGGGTTAATATTTATTGATAAAAATGAGTTAATTCCTTGAGCAAAAGATTAACCCTAAGGTGTTAGTTTATAATAAAATTGCGTTAGAGAGGGTTTCAAACGACATATACGCAATTTTACCTCAACACCATGAACACTGTGCACTGATTTTCGGCAACATGATTTCCTAAATACTGCAGAAATACGAGCGACTTCTTGATTTAGAATTGTGAACAATTTACAGCATTAAAAAAGCTCCGAACATTTACTATTTTATTAATATCTTCGGAGAACGAGAATCAAATTGACCAATCTTCACTTTTTGATATGTTTTAATGTTTTCTAAGAGGTCCACAATTTAAAGATCTTATCAGTTCAAAATGTTCGGATTTTTTCTGCATTCCTCAATTGAGTCACATGTTATTTTTCAAACAAGAATCACTCCTTCCCCACATTGTCTATATCTTCCATTTTTGCACAAAGAATGCATTTATGTGCCTAGAAAAGACTTGTGAGAAGAATGCTTTGATAAAGTGTATAAAAAACAAGAAAGTTCAGTGAAAAAATTCAGAACATTTTCAGAATTTTTTTTCACTGAATTTTCTCGTCTTTTATATATTTTTCAAAACAAATCTTCTCACAAGTCTTTTCTAGGCACATAAGTGCACTCTTTGTGCAAATCTGGAAGATATAGACAATATAGGGAAGGAGTGATCCTTGTTTGAAAAATAACATGTGACTCAATTCTCCCTTTCGCGATTCGCTCTTTGAATCAGAACGTTCGCAAATATGCACTGAAAAAGCACTCAAAAAGGACAAAATTTGATTGGTTTATATTTTCTCATTATGCATTTCGCGTAGTTATTTGCGTGACCCGAAAGTTCTAATTCAAACTAATTACGCAATTTTGTTTTTACACCCGCACGCTAAATAAAACAATGACAACATCGAAAGTATTCTACCTTGTCATTGCTTTAATAGTCTGTATACCGAGTTTAATCAATAAAACATTGTACAATGGATAACAAAATTCGGAAACGAGTACTATAGATTGGCTTTCGGACCACTGAACAGAGTGACCTAGATAATAGCGACGCTTCTTCTTAGGTCTACTGCTCAGTTATTAGTTGGTTTTCAACGTAACTCTATGATGTAATTTGATGATGAATACTTTTATTCCGTTGTTGCATCGATGATGCAGTTTGTAGTGCAGTAAGATTGGCATGAAAGTATTGAAAGTCGAATGGAATTGTTTTTTCCAATATGGCGACTAGTCAACTGATCATGTGACCTTCTCTTCCGGAATATTTTCTCACTTTTCAATCATCGTTTTCACCACACTATGAATCAATACAATGAAAAAAATAGCTGTTATATTAAGATTAATAAAAGGTCAATCGTTTCTAATAATTTTTTCTGTACCCCCGTACGGGAATATGAACGAATATATCGTTTGAAAAATAGGTGTTAAAATCCCCATGTTAAACCTATGAGGGAAAACAAGGAAGTATAAATTTGTTCCTCCGCGAACTGCATCATGGGAAATATTTTGACCTTATAAGGAAAGATTTTCGCGTCTCCTCTTTTGAAGAGGGAACAGCGATTTCGAGAATTGAAGGATGCAGAAAATTTCCCATCATGCACCCTGACCTTAAAAGTAAGCATCCCTATTTATCAATACAATTCATTACAACACTGCAAACATCTCCTTCACAAGAGTCTTCATTTTTTCGAGGTCTCCTCTGCCGAAGGTAGCGCAAAGTAGGAGCGTAGCGACTACTTTGCGGGAGACCTCGAACCATTGATCACGTTTGCTCCTGTAATTATTCACTTCTTCACCTCTTTAAAATGTGATTTCAATCAGTTGATCAAATTTTCGGACTTTGACCTCAAATTCAAATATTAATATTTATAAGAAAAAATACTGACTCATTATTATATTTTTAAAAGTCTTTCAAATAAAGTGAAATGAAGCCAAAATCAGCTAAAATTATGCAATGTCGTAAAATGGCGTTACTGGAATATGATGCAATCACCCGTGACGTCATACACGTATTGCCACATCAACAACTAAACAAACAATTAATAAATACTTCACTGATTGGTTTAAAGATTCTTCACATCATTTGTGACGTCATAAACATGTTACACAACCAACAACTAAACAAATAACAAATAGGCATTTAGGTTCGTTCAGTGCCACGCTCTTGAATCAGTTATAAACAGGATAATCAACAGATATATGATAGGGTCAGTAATTTTTTTGACTTGGAGACCTCGACTCGAGGAGTTTGCTGCATTTTCTTGTTTTAAAATGATCTCTTGTTCTTCTTTCATTTGATTGAAATATTTTTATTGGAACTAGTGGATTGAAAAAAATCAAAAACAATTTAATTTTTCATTAATTTCATAGCAACGACCTTACCATGCCATACACCGTCGCTGTGGCTTCTCCCTCCTTTAACTGTACGTGCTCCATGATCGCAATATATTCTTCTCAAACTTGGACGTGTAAATTATTCTCTAAATTAGAACTGCGTGGCTATAAATTGCAAATACAGAATGGTTGACAAAAATAATTTGAGAGAAGTTTGGAATGTGCATCCGGGTATTTTTTGTATTTTACCTCTATTATGGAGAGCACTTCGCTACAGCGATATAAGTTTTTATGAAGTAGCTGTTCTTGAACAGTAAATGTGCAGAATTTTGACTCAGAATATTTTCTAACCGGACTTATTAGAGTCCCATAGAGTGTTATCCGCCCGATTACTTGAAGTAATAGTAGGAAAGTTAAACTTTTAGTTCAGTCCACTGTATTGCTACATGTTGAGAACACAAGGTAAGAGGTGCAAAGATAGCAGAATTGTTTTTCTGGGTTGGGAGAAACAGAAAGTGAAACTGAGTGAAAGTTGAAAATGCAGAGGCTCTTTGCATTTGGAGAAATGATAGTCCAATAGCACTACAAAACAGATATAACCAACCAAAGATATACTCATACTGTATTGAAGATCAGAGATTTACACACAGGCCCAGGAAGAATAACCACCACGTGCACTTTATCCCGTGCCAGGATGTAATGTACATGTAATGTAATTATACTAGAGTCCATTTCACTGTTTAACTGCGTCAGTAAAAGCTAAAAAATAAGAAATCAAAATATCATTTTGCAATAATATATGGAAAAATATATTCCTATTGTACATGAATGACATTTGTATATCTTGGATTGGTTCTAGTTTGGCTTATAAAGTGTGTGGCCTCTTATATTTGGATGCTTCTCTGCCTTGTTATTTTCAATAAGATTAACATGGCTGAAATTCTTCAAATTACAAGACGGCACAGGCTTACTGCACAAAAAACTAAAAAATCTGAAATATACAAATGTCATTCATGTACATTATGAATATATTTTTTCATGTATTATTGCACAATGGTCTCCCAATTTCTTATTTTTGCCGTTCTACTGACGCAATGAAGCAGTGAAATGGACTCTAATACTATGGAACAAGAGTTCCACTCCCCTCCCACCCACTATGTATTAGGAAGAAAAAATACATTATTCAGTGAGTGGGGGGGGGGGGATTTAAATCTTCTTCCTGGGCCTGTGGATTTTCACATGGGTTGGTTAGGATAAAATTAAAAGGGGCATGATAGATCTAAACATTGCATTCAGGAGTCAGCATCATCTCATCTGACTTCTACATTATTACACTTTGACAGTTCAGCAGATATTGAATTGCTGTGTGAGTGTTACCATGGTCTTTCACTAGAGAAGCCGACTGGTGGGCCGTGGCACCGTTTTATGTTGTGAGCGTTAAACACAGACCTGTAGTCAGGGGGGTTCTAGCGAATCACCCTGGCCAATAATTCTTGATTATAGTCATTTTTGGGTCAAAGATGTCAAAAAGAACTCCCCTGGAAAATGAAAGTGAATCCCCCCTTGGCAAATCCTGGCTATGGGCCTGTACCTTGTCTTTGATTGTCCGCAAACTTTAATGTTCACATTGATTTTGGGTTTTTCATGGCCAGAATCAATCATCCTTGCTGAAACTTACACATGATGTTGTTAAAATAATTTGTTTTGGATGTTCCATGGAACCATCATAGGTTGAAGAAAGTGATATTTTGAGCCATAATGAGAGAATGAAATGAACAAATGATAGTAATGAAGTGAAGAAATGCACAATAAAGGTATCATTTTGATGATCATTCCTTCGGTTGCATGGATTGTCGGCGACAAAAAAGATTTTTCTAATGTTTCATATCACTTGATTTAATAAGAAAATCAATTAATAGATTTAAAATGAAACACCTAAAATTTCATTATAGGATATTAAATGCTCAGCTCTCTTTGCAGAATAATGCTCGCCTACCATGTGTTCGCGAATCCTGTGTCAAGCTGTTTTTACTTAATGGTTGTGCTTTTATATTTTACACTTTATAACCACATGAACTGATATAAAGTATGTCAGTTGTATAAAAATGAAAAAATTGCGTTTTATGATAAAGGTCACCCTAATGTTAGATATTTGTTAGTTCTGATCTTTTTTGAGTTGTTTAGATGTCATATTGTTATTGGTATTATTTTCATCATCAATTTTTGCAATTGACATAGTGAAAGGTTCTGTTGCATCTAGCAAAGTAAAGAACCATGGGCTTTCAAGATACATGTAACCCCATAAAAGAACTGGAGACTTCTTACCCATTACTTAGTCTTACCGATGGGAATTTCCCTATCAGTATGATAAATTTTAAAAGCAAAAATGATTAACAATTTGTAATTGAACTCTATTGTCTCAATCATCTCAACTTATTTCAGATGTGTGCATTTTGTTATATCAACAATTCATTATATATTTCAGCTAGTTCCAATGAAACCTGCCATCTATGTGTACAGAGGTCTTGGGGCAAGTGAGCAGGGTCTGTCTATGCTGCTTAATGCCCTCAAAAGATGGTGCTGTATGTCCACATACGATGTCATCCAGATTAGCCCACAGGAGATCATTACAGGTATGTTTCATTATCCCAGCGAAGGAAGTTCGATAGGGATATTGTGAAGCTGTCTGCTGGAAAATAATTTGAATAATTTGGACAGATTTTCTTCATATTAATTGGAAAGATGTATATCCATTGGTGAATAGTTTTATCAAATAGGCCTACAGATGTAGTTTTTTTTTCAAGATGGCCACTGCACAAAAAGTGGTGGAAATTTTTCATGAAAATCTTGTTTTTTTTTCAACCAAAGTAATCATGTAATACATGTACATGTACATGTAAGCATTTTACATTTTGTAAAATGTCCATAAAATTGTGACCATGGGGAATTGATCAATCAAACTTAGTAGAATGAAAGAACACTGAACAAGGGTCAATTGTGCCAAACATGACCGCTGGATGACTGAGTTATTAACATTTGTTTGGGTTACCCTTTTTGGCACACCCTGTATTATAGATTCGATTCCAAATATTTCATCTTTTCAGAATCAAGCCTCATAAAATCCAAAATGATCACCACATGCTGGAATTTGTAGTAATTTGAGATCTCTTTAAAGTATGGATATATAATCCTTGAATTAAAATAAATTATTTTCAGTCACAATTATTGTATCATTTATTTGATTTGTTCTTTGGAAAATCAAAAAGGGTCACCATGTACGAGAATTTTAAATAGTAAGGCTCCTTCAAGGGGTTTCTGGGTCTGTCTTCCAGGATTAGTTACGTAAATTACGACCCTACATAAGGGATCCAATTCTTCACCTTCATTGGTGCTAAACAAAATACAATACCATTAGAGAGGTTAGAGTATTATTGTATCTTAACCCATTTTATCACAAATACATTTGATGTTATGTTGATATACATATTTTCAGGTGAATGGTGTAAAAATGCTTCCTTGCTAGCTATAGGGGGTGGCTATGACAGAGGTTTTATCAAAGCTCTGGGTCCAACAGGTATGCACATTATCAAGCAGTATGTGCAGTCTGGGGGAAGGTATCTAGGTATATGTGCGGGTGGATACTTTGGCAGTCAGGAAATACAGTTTGATAAGGATGGACCACTCCAGGTGTGTGGTGAACGAGATCTGGGATTTTATCAAGGTGAGGTGGTTTCATTGTTTTTTAACAAGTTTTGATACCTGTATTTTCAGAAGTGTCAAAGTACTATCATAGACTTTATGAAGGATATAATGCTACCTGGTTTTGTTGTTAAGGTGAAGCACTTTAGCATCATACTTAGCCAAGAAATAGCATGAATTTTGTATAATTTATTGGATAACTTAAAGCTGTTTAATCTGTTGGTTAAGTGCTAGAGCAGATCAATGGCACTGTAACTTTACCAAGAAATATTTATAAATATTCTTCGAAAATATATGCACCATTTTCATTAACTTTGTTAATGGATTAGAATTGGTTTTCATTAAAATTCCTGCAGAAGAATGATTTAGCTGTACTGTAGCATGGAGTGTTTTCGTCTAAGAGTAAGCTGCTTTTAAGTTAAATAAATTCTGTGAATTTGTAAAACTTCTTGGTAAAATATTGCTCTGGCGCTTCACCAAATTTTAAAGTTCCTACCCTTTGGGGATGTTATATACGCTATTGCTAGAAGTTTTATTTGGGGATTTATGCACTTTTTACACTTTATATCGACCCTTTAAAGTTCCCATTGCAACAAGGTTTTTACAATTTGGATTTTTATTTACTAAAGAATGAACAGTTACAAGTATTTATTTGGATTCCAGGTCTTTGTGTTGGGCCAGCATATGGTACACCCCCATACAAATACAACAGTGAACAAGGTGCTCAGGCTGCATGTATCAAATGGAACACCCTTGGACACAAATCTAATTCTACACCTATAAACATTTCACCAAATCATAACGCTGAAAAGGAGAGCACATCTGTGAATGGGGGAAAGACTGTGTTCAATTACTTCAATGGTGGTGGATTTTTCACTTGCAATGATGGTTGCCATAGAGACATTGATAGTTACTACAGCAACAAGGATTGTTCCATAACAACACTAGCTACATATATGGATTTACCCGAAACACCAGCAGCAATCGTAAAATGCTCCTTAAACAAAGGAATTTGTATTTTAACTGGCATCCATTTTGAATATCTAGTTGAAAAACTTAATCTAGAGGACAGTGATTTGAAAAATGTTATTCCCAAGCTACAGAGCAGTGTAAGAGAGAGAGAAGAATGTTTCAGATTTATAATGGATCAGTTGGGAATCACCTGTAAATCTTGTAAAACTCATGAGACGTCCCATTTATGAGGTTATTTAATTAGTAATGGTAGATCTACTATCTATCAAATAGTAGTACATTGTACATGTAGTAATCAAAAAGATACTATTAAAATTGTGCATGGTTTTGTAACAACCATTTCACAGCATTTCTGTGTTGTGTCTTAACTTGTATACCAAAGAATTTGCAGCAAAATTGCCATTTTTCAAGTACAAACTTGTATACATGAGAATTGGCATTATATTACCATTTTTTTTGAATTACAAGTACATGTATGTGTATATATTTTTGGAGAAAAGCTTGAACAATGGGTTGAAGTTAAATTGTTCTAAAATGCATGGCTAAATGCATCATAATGTAATAAAATCATGCACAATTTCTGTACAAGTGCTCTTCGGCTTAAATGCACACTCCGGTGTAATTGTGGGAGATTCTACTAAAATTGTGCATGGTTTTATTACAACAATTTCACAGCATTTCTGTGTTGTGTCTAAACTTGTATGCCAAAGAATTGGTAGCGAATATTGCCATTTTTGGCTCACACAGTGAGCCTATGGGATCGATCAGGCGTCCGTCCGTCCGTTGGTCCGTCTTTCAAGTACAAGTATATATATTTTTGGGATGAAAGCTTTTACAGTGTGTTTGTCCTAAACAACAGTTTGATATTTTCATTTCACGGCAAATATTTTGTGGCTACCATTGTCATCATTTAGGACTCCAGAATAATTGTTAGAAAATACTCTATTTTTGGAGGAGGCCATTAAACTACTATTCATTGAAGTCTTTGTGTGATCTTTGTAAGCTTGACATGTGGTCACCAAATTGTTGAAGTCAAATTGTCTAAAATATAACACTACGAGGGGGTATCATTAATTAGTGAGACAAGTACCATAACTTTTTCAAATTTGCTTCAATTGCATTGATATTTTCACCAAATAACATCTTGGTAGTATGCTACATCCTCATGTAGTTTGATTAGTTAACTCTATCATATAGTGGTTTAAGAGATTTCTATGTGACGTCATGACCAGTGACCCGGAGCAGTTATTAATATAAAAAAACTTCAAGATTTTACGTCAAATTTTCCAATTTCTCTATATTTCATGACTTTATGGAATTTGTACTAGTATAGTGCCATCTAAGCATACATGCCTAACTATCATATAGCTTGCAAAGTTACATCTTTTCAAAGTATTCTCCACGGCATCTGATACACTTTCTACATCTATCAATCCATTCCTGGTATGCGTCCCTACACCCATGAGCCCACAGCTCATTCATTGTGTGACATCATGTACTAGAGATGACATCATAATTGGTTGTGTTGTCATAACAACCACCTCAGGGCACTGTGTAAACAAAATTTGAAAAGAAACTGTCATTTTGTAAAAAATTACATAGTAAAAAGTGCCCTTGTTTCTGGTAATTTTTGACGTAATGACGTAAAATCATGCACCAATTTTGTAACATACACAAATTAATGTGAAAATAGATTCTCCTGAAGGTGTGCATGGTTTTACAAAAAGTAGAAAGTTACATTAACTATGTTGTGTTTAGAACATTGCCAGCAAATATTGCCATTTTCAAATTGGAACATTGTATATTTTGGAATATTACACCACACTTGAGTGTATTAAGTGTTACCCAATGTTACCCAGAAATCATAGATGAGCCTATTTGCTAGAAGAGATGAACTACTATAACTTTGTCTTTATGTGGAATTCTGGGTATTGTCACTCTTCATCATGAGTACTGTGCCATGAATCAGGGGGGGGGGGAGATTTCCCAAAGATGACATTTCGTATTGGCACGTTCTAAAACAAATTTTATTAACAGGCCTCATTTGCCATTGAAATGGATCTCAAAATGTTCGCTGTAGTTTTATGAGTATGATGTTAACGCTTGTTCACGCTTGTTCACGTGATCACATCCTGCAATTTGATTGGAGATGATGCGGGAGATGACGTAATGGGGGATCCCCGAAGACTATGAAAGAATTGTGGGAGCTACTCACTTCTGGCCATGAATAGATTTACTTTAGTCTTAGATTTACAACTACAAGCCTGTAAAACTATCTTTTGTTGATAGGAAGTTTTTGGCTTCAGGCTTAAAACCTAATTTGTGGAATTAAGAATTTCTTCAGTGTATGATGTATGATTTAAGAAATAAAGGCCGAAGAGCAGGGGTAATATTGTCGAATACACCCCTTAGGGCTAGGCACAAAAGCTTTCGAACCCCTCACTCCCTTCAGTCGATTGGGGTACAGAAAACGTTTGTGCCTAGCCCTGCGGGGTGTATTCGACGATATTATACCTGCTCTGAGGTCTATATTACGATTCGAACATGAAACTCACTAAAATGTTTCGAATATTCATTATGGTCCGCCATTACTACGGCCCGCCGTCACACATTACACGTATTACCAGGGGTTTTGTTCGCGAATATACCCCGGGTGAAAAGTAAACTTTGTATACAGTTTGTAGAAGGCGTGAATACAGTCATATTCGAATGCCAAATAACTCCCAATGATCATATGACGTACACATGTTGTTTATGATCACAATGGGGAATATTTTACAAGGTCCTGTATGCTAGCCAATACAAATAATGCTACTCCAGTTACTGAGTAATATTTTAATTGGTGCCCTATATATTTTCAATTAAAACATAGGCCTAACTGTATGTTGTAAGAATGAGTGCTTTAAACATTCCTGTAGTTTGTAAGATTGAATTCTTTATACAGAAATAGAATTGTTATCCATTTGAATTTAAAATGTTTCTGCATTTTGTGAATGGGTGAACAGACAGCAGCTTCTAGGCGAGCCAGAAAGTATAAGGGGCAATAGAATAAATTACTGTAGTATGTTATGGGGCAATAAAATAAATCACTGCAGTATGTTAGCACCCTCCGTAAACAGGGCTTCAAAATCCAGAATATCTTTTTTAGGTACGGATTGTGGACACGTGCTTAGGATGATGTATTTAAGATGATTTACTGAATCGTTGATCATGCACACCATTTACATGATGGATAAATCTTAGAACCGAGATGTTCACATTCCCAAAAGCACAATGGGTTAGCAAAGTCAGATATATATGTTTATATCCGAAGAATACTTTTAAAATCAATTTGATTATATAATCTTGACATGTTCATGTGTTAGTAAATAATGTTTTTTCTCACTTTTCTTGTCATCACGATTTCAGGGAAACCACTGAACGGATCTGCTTTAAAAGTTTACACATGTTACATCATAAGAAGTTCGAGAGCTGATTAACTTTTCGACAGCCATCTTGCATTCTGGCGACCATCTTTGAAGTTTTTAGATAAATCTTGTCATCACGATTTCAGTAAAACCACTCAGACGGATTTGTTTCAAATGTTTACACATGTTAAATGGTAAGAAGTTCTAGAGCTGATTAATTTTTCGGCAGCCATCTTGCATCCCGGCGGCCATTTTGGAAGTTTTTTGATAAATCTTGTCATCGCAATTCAAGGAAAACCACTTGAAGGACTGTACTTCAAATTTCCACACATGTTACTGAGAAGTTCTAGATCTGATTAACTTTTCGGCGGCCATCTTGAATTCTTTCGGCCATCTTAGAAGTTTTTATGTAAATCTTGTTATCGCGATTCCAGGAAAACCACTTGATGAATTTACTCAAATTTTCACTCATTTTACATGATAAGAAGTTCTAAGGCTGGTTAACTTTCTGGCAGCCATCTTGCATTCTGGGGGCTATCTTGGAAGTTTTAAGATAAATCTTGTCATCGCGATTCCAGGAAAACCACTAAACCGATTTACTTCAAATTTCTACACATGTTTACATGCTAAGACGTTCTACTGAGAACTGACTAACTTTTCAAATCTATTGTACGAATGCGTGTTTCAAAAAAGGTGGTTAAAATATACATACAGTACGTCGAAATGTGTGCAATGAGAAAACAACAACGATACCTACAAAACAGACAATTAAAACCTAGGATGAAGTTCGACGTGACAAGTGCCTGGAAGTTATTTAACCTTGAAACACGATGGTTAACACACAGCAATATTTCCAAGCTGAACGGTTAAAGACCATATAGGCTACGCCAAGCTGGTGTCATTAGCCTTTTGCAAATTTTGACATAGGCCTACTTTAGCAGATTATAGACATAGATATGGATTTTCCAATGAAGATATATAAATATTCAATTTTCTGGATGAAGTTTTCGGTTGCTGTAGCTTTTAATGTGACTGCGAGACTATTGTGTGTGATACCACCATTGAAAAGATTAATTTACACAAAATGTATAGACGCGGTGCATGGAGGAAAACAAAGTTTGCTGAAGACCGAGGATTTCGTCTTTTTTAACTTAGATATGATTAAATTTTGTTATTTCTACCTTAAGCAGTTGGAATTTCAAAAAGCAGAAGTCGGCAGTGCAGCACCAGATTTGACTTTGTTTAGATTATCGGACCAATCAGAATGTCGACTCCATGACTTGGTAAGGATGAAGCCCCTTGTGGTCATATTTGGAGGAGCATCCTGACCCCCATTAATGGTTCATATGGATGATATAGTGGACATGATCGAACGGCATCGTGATTTTGCTGATTTCGTGTTTATCTACATCCATGAGTCTCACCCAACAGATGGCTGGGTATTCAATGACATCATCAAAATAAAACAACATGCGTCACTTGAGGAACGATTGGATGCTGCTAGACATTTAAAAGAGCGCATTCCATGCCCCATATATGTTGATTCTATGGAAAACGAAGCTATGTGGAGTTATGCAGCTCTTCCAGATAGACTAGTGATCGTTAATAATCATATTGTGGAGTTTATTGGAAAAGCAGGACCTTTTGGCTTTAACACTGCTGCTGTCTGTGAATGGATAGATCGGCATAGAGACTAGATCGTGTACAACTTTGATCCATTTAGCTTATTGGAAAACCTGGACCTTTTAGCTTCACCATTGTTCATTGACTGCTCGTGTCTGAATGTATAGTTTAGAGAGAGACCAGACAATGTTAAACTATAATTTTTTCTTTACCGCTGTTGATGTCTTTAAATGAATGAGCACGGGGTGGACCAAAGGTCGATAACTATGATTTGTTTGCATACATAATATCATGGGCTTCAACATATTCTATACTGGTAATTATGTATTGTAAATTGTATCTGATGTCTAACCTTTTACTGATTTATTATGGCATTATGTATTACTAATTGTCGCAACGAGCGAACGCTGGGGATATATTATGAAGCTCTTCGTCCATCTGTCCGGAAAATAACTCGAATACAGTACTAGATTACAGTTGGTGGTTTGCCTTCATATTTGGTGGAAAGATGAATATTGGTCGAATAGTTTTATGCAAAAATATTATTTTCAATAAGCGGGAACTTTTCGCCTAAATTCAAGTTTTTCATTGACACATATGGCACAGTAATGGAAAATACTTGAGTTTCGTTTTATCATGTTTATAGTTAAATCTTCATATCTACCCAGTTATGTGCAAAACAAGACATTTTGCATTAAATAAGAAAATCATGAGATAAAACGTCATAACACAAACGGTGTAGGCTTACTTATTTCAGCCAGAAATCACTAATTGTGCCCTTACACAATTTACTTAGAATGAACGTTTACCTCTTAAGTCAATAACCGTGGTATGAATAAAAATAACAGTATTGGATCAAGTATTATATCCTCAGTTGAAACAAATGATTTATTTTGATTTATTTCTATTTCTTCTTGAATTTGAAAACACTTGTTTGAGTACCTCTGCTGTAGCTTTGGAGTAATTAGCTAGCTAAACTTCAGATTTTCTATGGATTTAAGCTAGCTCTAAATCTGAAAATAATTATGTAGAAAGGTAATATATTATTTCAAAATAAAAAATGTGTTTTGGAAATGAAATATTTTCAAACTTTTTCGCAAACGTGCCATTTTCCAGGTTCAGTCTATTCAGGCCTCCTAGACTTCCACCAACGCGAACATCAGTTCTGACCTCGCAAACTATGTTCCTAACACTCGAACCACGATTCTCACATCGCGAACGTGAAATCTTAAGTCGCGCACCACCATTTCCTCGCTCCCGATCACATTTCTCCACTCGCGCACATAGATCCGTTCTCGCGAACAATTTGTACATAGTGCATCTGGGTATTTGGGATTTATTTTAGTTTTGCGTAAATAATGCAAATAACATAATGACTTTTTTTCGATCAGGTGTGTGGTTCGCGAGCACGGATCTCTGTGAGCGAGTGGAGAAATGTGTTCGGGAGCGAGAAAATGGTGGTGCGCGACTTAAGATTTCACGTTTGCGATGTGAGAATTGTGGTTCGAGTGCAAGGAACGTAGTTCGCGAGGTCAGAACTGATGTTCGCGTTGGTGGAAGTCTAGGAGGCCTGCTATTTAGAGCACATAAAACAATAAGAGGTAATATGTAAATGAACTACACGCTCATGTAGGCATACAAACAAGTCTTTAAGTTAGCCTTTCTTGCATGAGAAATTCAACGATTACTCATAATAATGTCAAAACATAATTCAGTTCAGAAGTTATACATAATAAAATAAAATTGACTAGTGCATCATTTTCTTATTTATTTACAAGCATTTCTAACGCATAAACAAAATGAGGCCTTTACCTTGGCACGTTTGTTGCACTTTATTTTATTCAAATAGCATACTTTAAAATATTATATTTATATTTATATCATAATACAACTCTGTTATATTGGAGACTTATTTTATGCAATACGAATTATTACTCTTAGAATTTCATTCATGAACATAAGATTTTTAAATGGTATCTTGTATGACAATGTGTTGGCAAGTTGGCCTCCAACCTGACATATTTGATTGACCTTTATCACAGGTCAAGGTACTAATGAGATGAAATCTATGTTCATCTGTGAAAAAGTGTAATTAATTTTTATCATTTGTCCTTGATACTAATCTCATATATATTATATGAAATAAATCACTCTGAACGCTAATTAGTGGAGGTTTTGTTATATTATGAATAGAATGAAATTGGTTGAAAGGTTGAACAAATGCTACCATATTACGAAAGGGTTTGTAGCAAAAAAGGAACTACAGAAACACATACCATTAACACAAGTGTTTAAAACGTGAATGGTGAAGTGTTTCAAAAACATGGAGGTTTGATTACTGTCTGCTTTTACTTCAGAAAAACAAAAAATCGCAACATTCACTGATCAAATATATTTTTTTCCTATGACATGTATAAAAATATTAAAGATTAAAAATGCAGAAACTGCTAGCCTATAATGCCACTGGCGCTAGGCAGCAGTACCATACTAGTATATTCTTCAATAATGTCATAAATAAATGAATATATATGAAAAATGACATTAGTTTTATATTATTTGCGATACTATCGCGTGTAAATAATCCAAAATCACAGGCTCGTATCGAAAAATTTGTCCGCTGTGACGGAGCGTGCTATTTTGCATAGGAATACTAAGAAACCCACACAATTTATTTTTTACTCATATGTTTCGCTATACCAAAGAAAGTTTCTTACTCCATGCAATGGGTATATCATTTGCGGGTAACTTTTAACTTTTGTTTGAAGTCCAACAACGCTAAGAGTAAAAGCTATTGAAAACGGCGCCGGGGTATCATACTCCAAAATGTACCATTTCTTTTATTTCTTTTTAATGGTACAATATAGTGACACGATATTATTTACATATATTTTCAGCATAACTCTGAAGGTATTAATGATATCTTGATGTATTGGGTATTTTTAATATTTTTTATAAAAAATAATGTTTAAATCTTTTGTCAGCTGTGATGGAGCAGTTTTAACTGTGAACTACGTTAAGAATTTAAGATTCAAATTATACAGTCCTTTTAAAAGTACCCTAAGAAGAGAGAACGTCACAAATCACTTTCCTAAATTATGACAAGTAGCCTCTGGGAGATCTGGGGTAATGTAAATCTGAGATATAAAAACGACCACGCTTAGCATTTTTCGGAGGTTTGTACTGAAATCAACATGAAACAAAATGGTGTAAACTCAACATAATATTTCGAATACGTTTTCGCCAAGACGTCTTAGAATGTCACGTGTAGTGTAAATTGTTACGCGGAATATGGCATACATTCATGGTTGCGCGGTATTTGTGATACGGGTGAATATGCCATACTCACCTGCGGTATATGGCATATTCCGCAGGTGAGTATGCGATATTCCGCAGTGAATATGTGATGCATTGAATTCAGTGAATACCCGATACTCACCTTCATAATATGTCATACTCACTTGCGGAATATGCCATATACAGCAGGTGAATATGACACATTCCGCAGGTGAAAAACGTGATACAGAAAGACTTGGTTTGATTGGTTGCGAGAATCGACTCTGAATGTAAAACTACGCTGGATTACCAATACTGTCAGTGCGTCGAGTACTAATATATGAATCCTGGATTGATTGGGTAAGTTTATTACGTGAGATTGGTGAGTGATACTTCTGCATACGTTGATGTATTCGATAAACTGTACTGTTGATTCAGTAATCATTATAATTATTTATAAAGTTTTACTTGTTCGTTCAATCGATGCAATTGACAATTGCATACTTCGTATCACGTTCTCATTGGTTAGTGTGTATGCCATATACCACAGGTGAATCTGTCATACACCGCAAGTGAATATGGCATATTCGTTGCGGAATATGGCATATTTTTGTATCGTGTTTACAGCGTAACATAAATAGGGATAATATGAATTTATTCGAAATAGCGCAATCCTGCAATCCTGCAATCCGACAGATGTATAACCTATTACCACATAATATTACTGTATATAAGTTACCATAAAAAATGACCATGTCAGGTGATGGATCCACAGAAGGCACAACGAAAGGCAAATACCCTATACTGAAATAAAATTGACTATAATTTTCATGAGTTACCATGCATAACTTGGATTACAGTACAAACTGAGAAAAGAAGCTTAAAGAGTGGTCTATATACATCTCAGAATTTGAATTGTGTACTTTTATTCGGCGTTTTATTTTTCAGAATACTTTACGAAAGAGATTTGATACGCTCCCTCCTCTAACGTGTAGTGATAAAGAGATATATTATAAATCTAAATTCTTAACGTATTTCAGATTTGAAACTGCTCCGTCACAGCGGACAAAAAATTTAAACATTATTTTTTATTAAAAAAATTAAAAATACCCAATACATAGAGATCTCATTAATACCTTCAGACTTATGCTGAAAACATATGTAAATATTATCGTGTCGCTATATTGTACCATTAAAAAGAAATAAAAGAAATGGTACATTTTGAAGTATGATACTCCGACGCCGTTTTCATTACCTTTACTCTTAGCGTTGTTTGACTTCAAACAGAAGTTAAAGTTACCCGAAAATTATATATTCATTGCATGGAGTCAGTAATTTTCTTTGATATAGCAAAACATATGAGTAAAAAAATAAATTGTGTGGATTTCCTAGTGTTTCTATGCAAAATAGCACGCTCCGTCACAGCGGACAATTTTTTCGATACCAGCCTGTGAAAATGTAAATTAACATTTATTCCGAAAAAATATAGTTCGTATTTATCAAGCTTAATAGTCTTCTTTGGGATATGTTGGAATCCGCTGGCTTTTTAGCTTAACTCTTTTGACCGGGACGTCGACTAATTCATCCTATCATCGGTAAGTGCGGGACGTCTACTATAGTCGACTTTTATACACGTACTACGCTAATGAGTTTTTCGTTGTATTTATAGATGTCAGGCTATGTCTAACCTTGTGGATTATATTTGACGAAACATAAATGTAACAGGAAGTTAATGATATTTCGTCACTTTTTCATAGAATAAACCGATGTTTTCTCTAATATGATTTGAAATAAAGAAAATGGGATTTAAAATGGCTGTTGCTAGAGCTCGAACTCTCATATGTATTAGGGCTACTGAGGACAATTTTGATCAAATATTCAATGATTTGGACAGTGAAAACGATACTTGATAAAACGAGGTGAAAATTATGTTTTAATTTGGATTTTTGGATGGTATTGTTTTATTTTTATTATCACATAGAATATTATTTGAATTTATTCAATTTTTCTCATTGATATCATGATCAATGGTGTAATTGCTAATCTATACGCTAGAATTTGTATGTTATGATGGTTTGAAATGTTAGAACATTATATTGACAGCATGTACTGAAAATTTCATCAACATCTGATGGCTAGATAAAAAGTTATGACTGTTTGAATAAAATCGGTAAAAAGTAGACAATTTTCAGGAAATTAATTACCGAACTTAGCAATGTAGCAAATTTGCTAATTACCAGTCCAAA